TTTGCACTCCTCGGTATCACTAAAAGGTCAGGATTCTTTTGTGATAATACAAGATTTTGTTTAGAACTGCTACTTGAATTACATAGCAAAGTTGTAGAAGGTAAATGAAAACGTGTGTAGTTCTAATATATGAATGAGTCATAAATGGAAATATGGAATATACTGAATATATGGAAAATACTGCTTTGCTCACATTTTAAAAACTTAAAAACTGTCTAGTTCTGTATGTTTGAAACAAGTGATGCAAAATAAAAGTTGCTACTGGTCGTCAGAAAATTTCATGTCGCTCATGCTTACAAACAATTACACAGTAGAATTTGAATACTTCAAATCTAACATCTCTGCAATTTGTAATATTGTTAATTTAATTACTAATTTAATTCATTAAAACTGGCACTCTTGGTGTAGCTGTGGGTGGCTGTGTTCCCTCACCAGCTCCCCTTCGCACCACACAGCATGGCATGCAGCATGGCACGCTCTGCATCGGGTGCTGCATCTCGTTCCTGTGTCCTGTCCTGTGCAACAAGGACACAGCACTGGGCCTGGGGTCAGAGAGCTCAGCACCTCCTGTCAACCCTGGTGATCTACAGGTGCCTTCTGAGATCCTGCATTTGGATTTGAAGGATGAGAGGAAACGGGTGATGTACAAGTGAAGGAACTCAAATTTAAGTCATTATAAAGCCTTTTTGGTTCCGCACAGCAATCTAAAGAATTATAACGACCCACTGCTCTCAGTGTTACTCGGGTTTCCTGTATTGGTGAAATGCTGGTAGTACTGCAAACATGGCAATAAAGTGATTTTGACTTAAAGTCCTGGTTCACCTGCAGTATTTTGGTGGTGTGTCCACATGTTAGAGTTACCAAGTTACCACAGGTAAGCTATGTTCGCACACTGCAAAACAGCTGAAACCATCAGCAAACACGCAGTGTTTTATTAAACAGATCAAACTTGAGTGTGACAGGCAAAAGAAGGCACTCCGTCTGCAAGCCCTCTTGCCCTGAAGCAGCACTGCAATTCTTCAAAAGCAGCGTTCCTCGTACATTTGCTTTCTGTAGGCGTGCAGCCCTCGCTCACATGCGGCACACTGACTTCTGTGCCACTGCAGCGGCTTGGGCATGGCTAGGGGCTGACCGCGGGCAGGCGGGGCAGCTGGGTTGCCTGCGGGAGCTGTCTGTGCAACCAAAAGCCCGGGCAGCGCCAGGCCACGAGCCGATGGACCCGCTCTCACAGCGACCTACGGACATACTGCCCTTAGGGAGCCGCCACAGGCACCGACCCGCCGGGTGGGGCAGGGAACTCGCTTACGCTTCTACTTCGAGAGACAGAGCAGGTCCGTACAGCGGTTTGGCATCAGGTGAACAAACGCTGTTGGGTCTCTTCCTTATACCCGCTGAGCTCCCCCAGTCAACTGACACGCATCAAATGATCAAATAAACACGTACACACACACACATCACAAAACCTTTGTACTTGTATCAGAAAAAGCCCGGGCAGAAGCTCCCCGCGGTGCCCCCGCCCTCCCGGTTCCCGCCAGCGCGGGACGCGCAGAAACTCGCTCCGAGTTCCACGCAGGATCGCTTGCTCCGGGCTGCGCGCTCGGGGCTCATTCCGAGCGCTTATTTCCTGCTTCGCCAGGAGCGAGAGCGCACGCACCGGTCCTCGGCTACTTGGGGACAGGAGTCAGGCGTGCCACCCGCCGCATCACTCGGCGGGGTGCTCCCAGGCTGCCCCTCCGCCCGCCGCCCCGTTCCCGCCGCTCACCTCGGCTCGGCTTCGCTCGGCGCCTCGCGCTGAAACCGACCTCCGCCGCTGCCGCCCGCCCGCCCCGCGGGCACACACAGGCGTCAGGAGAGGGGGACCCGGCCCAGCCCGGCCCCGGCCGCTCGCCGCCCGCAGCCTGCCCCTATTGTCCGCCCGCCGCCCCGCCCCGGCCCGCCCCGTCGCGCGGGTGGCCGCCGCCGGGAGGAGGAGGAGCGGCGGACGGGCTCGGGTCGGGGACGCCGTGAGGGGGCCCTGCCGGGGTGGGGCTTGAAGGGACGGTGGCAATACGGCGAGGAAACGGAGGGGGTGCTGGATGGCACCTCCAGGTCCCCTTTACCAAAGACCCCTTGGTCATCTGAGCGCAGAGATTTGAGAGAAGTTGTGGTGAACAGGGAGAGCTTCGCCTGAGCCCCACAGGCCTGTCCTGCTTGGCCAGAGGTGCACCTGCAGCCCACCGTCCCTCGGGAGCGAGGAGCAGGGGGCGGCGAGGCGCACGAGGGTCGGGAAGCGCAGCACCAGCCGGGCTTAGAGAGGGACGGCTGCTGGAGCCCTGCCGGGCAGCCGGCAGCCAGCCCTAAAGGTTTCGTAAGGTCACGGGACTGCGATGTTTTCCTTTGGCGTTGCTGATAACAGCGCGGTGAATGATTCGGTCGGTATCAGCTATCATTAGAGAGTACACCGGGAGAGCTTTAAAGAACCAGAAAACCCCCATTGCCCCACGCTTTATTGTCATGTCAAACAGGAGACTGTCGGGTATAATGCCTGAGAGCGGACTTTGCCCTCTGTTTATACCATGATTTCATCTCTGTGTCGGGGAAGGTAAACAACGCAGAGCGGAGGCACAGATACCGCTCTGCCTGAAGCGTGGGTGTCCACAGGCTTTGTGGCTACATTTCAAGTGCAGAGAACTCTGTGCATGTACGTCTATAGGTGCAGATATATTATTTATGCAAACCGCTTCTTCATGCTGCCTGCACTACTGCCCTCGTTGTAAGCTGGATGTTTTTCCATCGCTTTCCAAGCTCTGCACATCTGGGCTACTCGTCTGCAAGTTGCACACAGCAGTGCTTATCTCCCGGCTCATGCTGAGGGCTGTGTGGACACGCACGCATGCAATATTGCAATACACCAGATGAGAATTGCCTTGAAAGTACAATACAATAAAAGGGAAATTAACCTCGGTAATATCACTTCTTGTCGAGACTTTGTCCTGTTCAGCATTTCTGGTATTTTGTTATTTAATTACTTTCATTTTTTTTATTTTCAGTTTGGTATTCATTTTCAAATCGATAATTGTTCCTCTCCCCAGCCCCCCCCGAAACCAGGCTTGATTTTGAATACATAGGTAATGCTGTTTAAGTCATTGAGTTGTCTCATGCTTAAAATAAATTATGCAAATGTCATTGTAGGAGTGAACTGCCACAAAGATAGCATGCTGATGCTGCCACGGCATTTCCTGATACTGTAATAGTAAGCGTTAGTGAGCTGTTCTCAAATTCTCACCAACTTCCCTTGCTGGAAAAAGAATGCTACAAAATGGAGATGCATTAATATTAAAAACTAGAGCATCTATTATTAGCTCTGATGTAATAACACTGATGTAATTTTCAGAGAGACAATTAAACAACACATCTTGGAACTGTATGGGTTTTTTTATGGGTCCGTGGAACCATAACTTTGATTAAGAACTGCTGAGTTAAGCTAAAACACTCTTCCATAAAAACAAAACACAACTGTTTGTGTCCTTAATTAATTATTTAATAGATTTAAGAAGCGATCCTTTTTCAGCCTTCCCCTGAGGTACGATGGATGTGAAAAAAGAAAACATGCACTGGTAGTAAGGCAAAAGGTTCGGTCTCTCTTCAGGTTTTTCACAGTGGTTCATATCCCTGCAGACACACCTTTTTGGTTAAAGAGTGGCTGTGAAGGCTGCTCCACGCTCTGGTCTGTAGCCAGAGGTTGTGTGGTGTCAGGAAATCCCCGCTACACGTGACTGAGGAAGATGCACGGCGTTCTGTAGCCATTTCTGTAGTTAAACTAGGGGGTGCTTAAATTTGTTCCTGCTGTGTTACTGCATTTAACTGTTTCTTTGTAGTTGCAGCTTTGTGACTGAGCCTATCATCTTAGGATGATGCAGTCAATCATAAAGCAGGTTTATTATACTCAGATTGTTTGGGGAATATAGATTACTATCAGTTGTTTGCTGCGTACCAGCATGTTGTAAACTGCTTATTTCAGCTATTGAGTGGTAGGTCTACTTTTTAATAGCAAATTGTCTTGTGGGATGAATAATTTATTTTACCGTTATTTTTCCTTCAGACCTCTGCAGCCTGTTGTGCAATACCTCACTGTTCTGTACTGCTCTTATCTCATTATATTGGTAAACTTTATGAAAGTCAAGTGTTTTAACATAATCATAATCATAATCATAATCATAATCATAATCATCTTGGAAAGAATTTTTGTACACATTCTCTAAACAAGCACTAATGCTGTAACTTTTTAGGCAGTAATTCTCTCTCATATTTTTAACTGTTTAGTTGCTGTTTGTTTCAGGGAAACATTCAGACACTCCTTCACAACAGCATCAACCCGATAAAAAGATAATCCTGTATTATATGACGATCAACATCTGATATTCAGGCAGAGACTAGACCTTTGGAATCAAAGTGATCTGTTTTTTAGGCATTCTGCAATCTTGAGCGAGAGCGCCTTTAATGTTCAAACGGCCCCAACTCGGACAGGTCCCCAAGCCCCTCCCCTTTCCGCTCGGCTCGGCTCGGCTCGGCTCGGCCCTCCCGATGAAGACACACAAGATGGCCGCCGACCCCCAAGGAGCCTCGCGTCTCCCTAGCAACAGAGTTGCGCCTTTGCCGCCAGCGCTCCGGAAGTCCCGCCCCCTGCGCGTCCCGGTTGCTAGGGAGCGGAGCCGGAAAGGGCGGGAAGGGGGTGATGGAGCTGGGCGCGGCCGGCGCAGGTGAGAGCTGAGCTTCTTTCTCCTTGGCGTTATCGCGATAGGTTGTGGCTTGTGACCATTGCTGTGGGATGGACTGCAGATGGGCGTCTCCTGATGCTCCCCTTGCAGGCTTGCTCTCTGTCGTGCTGTAGTCGCTCGTGGTCGCTAACGCTGTGCTTACAGAGCGAAGCTGTGTGGCTATGAGCTCCTGTGAGGTCTGTTGTCATAGAATCACAGAATGAACTGGATTGGAAAGGACCTTAAAGCCTGTCTGGTTCCAGTCCTCCGTGCTGCGGTGGTCTCAGCAGGTTATCAAGAGTACCTTCTTACAGGTTAGAAGATTCCTGTAGAAAATTGAATTGTATTTAAAATGCTGCAGAAAATAAGATTTTTATTTTTTGTATGGCTTAATATGTTGTTATTTTTTATGAATTCTTGTATGTGGGTTTTAGTAATTAAATAGCATAAAATCATTAAACTTTGATTCATGAATGCTTTGGGTTAAGCAACTGAATCCTTGTGTGTCATTGCTTTTTGTTTTGGTAGTATCTAAAAGGCCCAATGAAAAATCATCAGCTTGTGGAACTCGGTATTGTATAAGTACAGAAAAAAGACCCCGAGTCTGCATATGCTCTTTTCTCTCCGTCTATTTATGCTTGATTTTAACTTATGTTTACAAATGTGAAGGAAAATAGGTGTGCCTGGATCTCTCCAAAATCAAGGCCTAATAAGCAGTAGTGTCTCTGCCTTGTTGGGTTTGTTGACTAAGGTTAGGCAAGAAGAAGTGGGAGCACTGTGTAATGGACTGTGGCTCTCAGGAGGAGAGAAACTGTAGAGGTATTGCTTTTGTAGCAACTGTACATCTTGACATCCAGGCCTGGAAGCTTGAAGGCCCCTTGAATGCCATTCCACTGTCTTAGCTGCAGAAATGGTATTAATTATGTTATTAGCAAAGATGAGTAAATAATGCATTTTGAAGTTTGACTTTTTGATGAAAAATCTAAATGGAGGGAGAAGTAGATGGTGTTGTATGTGGGTGAAACTTCACTCTCTCCCACTTCCTTGCATGGCAGGTTTTGTACTGAGGAGATGCATGTGCTGAAGAGTGTGCTTTTGGCTTAGGCATTTAATTATGAATCAGCGCTTTTCTGTAGTGTATTTCGGTGAAGGATAACTATGAAAAGTCAGTAGGCTGCAACTCTGTAAGTAATTTGTGGAATGAACTAAAGAAGGACTGAATAGCTATGTTGAAACTGATTCTGTGAGCTGACTTCACCAGTATTGTCATTTGCTCACGTTACTGCTGTCAGAAAAGTTTCATCTTCTCCCTTGAGAAGTAGCAGTTGCAGATACTTGGCTTGTTTTTTTGTTGAGCATTTCCATCTTCTAGACTTCACTGTTTTTCTCAAACAAAAAGGGCAATGATGTAACACAGTACATGAGGGTAGACATAAGTAACTGAACAAGACAGATGTGGATAAACTAATAAATATCTTTATTGATGATCTGGACAAGGGGATTGAGTGCATCCTCACTAAGTTTGCAGGTGACACCAAGTTAGAAGGTGAGGTGGCATCTCAAGTGTTGTGTTCAGTTTTGGGTTTCTTACTGCAAGAAAGACATTGAGGCCAAAGAAGTACAGTAAAGTCAGTGAAGGGTCTGGAACAGATGAGGAGTGGCTGAGGGAACTGCAGTTGTTCAGACTGGAGAAGAGGAAGCTCAGGGGAGACCTTATCTCTTTATATCTCTCTAGACCTCTCTGTAGCAAAGTGGGGTTCAGCCTCTTCTCCCAGGTAACTGTGATAGGATGAGAAGTAATGGATTTAAGTTGCAGCAGGGCATTTTCAGCTTGGCTATTAGGAAAAACTACTTCTCTGAAAAAGTGGTGAGGTACTGGAACAAGCTGCCGGTGGCTGTGGTGGGCACCCCATCGCTGGAGATGTTCAAGAAATGTATAGATATGGTGGCACTGAGGGACATGATTTAGTGGGCGTGGTGGTGATGTGTTGACTGTTAGATGATCTTAGAGGCCTTTTCCAACCTAATTGATTCTATGATTCTGTGACACTGAAATGAGTTCAGAGGAGGGCTGCCGAGGAGGCCAATGCACTTGGCCTGTAATGAGCAGCTATGAGAGCTGTGCTTCTTTGGCCTGGAGAAGAGGCTGCTCTCACCTTTCTTCCTTTACTTACTGTGAGGAGGTTTTTGAGGAGACACAGCCAGACTGTTTGTGATGATAAACGATGGGAAACAATGGGAATAAGCTAAAATGAGAGGTTCAGGCTGAATGTATGGAAAACTATTTTCCCTGTGAGAACTGTTGAGCAGTGAAAAAGGGCACCCAGGCCAGCTGTGTGGGCATTTTCCAAATGTGGCTAAATAAAGCTATGACCATATAGCTCACTCTCCTTGGAGCAAGCACTGGGCTAGGAAAGTCCTGAGCTCCTTTCTGATCTAACAGTGATGAAAGGCTGCTGAGGACAAGTGAAAAATCTAAAGTAGAAAGCGACACCTAGTGTCAGGAATTGAAATGCAGTTTGTGAAGACTTCAACCTTAGGTCTGGAAAACTGCTTCAAAACGTTTAATGATACTACCATGTCCTCTCACATCAGTGAGGGAGAGGAGAAATCATAGCTGTGTGAGATACAGTGGGACAACAAAAAAGTTGGTGACGTTACTTTGCTTCTTTCCTTATAGAATAGCAAATTGTGATTCTTCATGGAGCGTGCAGTGGATTTTTCTCTGAAGTTGTGGGCCGACACCATAAAGTAGGAGGCATTACTTTCAAAGCAGCCTTCATATTGTGGTTGGTGAGTAAAGTAAAGCAATGTGAATGCTCCCACCCAAAACAAATAGAGAAAACATTTATATGTATATATGTTTACCTGCTGGAGAGGAGTTCTGTGGAGGACCTGGGTGTCCTGGTGGACAATAGCTTGGTCATGAGCAGCAGTGTGCCCTTGTGGTCAAAAAGGCCAATGGCATCTTGGGATACATTAAAAAGAGCACAGCCTGGAGGTCAAGAGGTGGTCCTTCCTCTCTACTCTGCTTTTGATGAGGCCACATCTGGAGTATTCTGTCCAGTTCTGAGCTCCTCTATTCAGAAAAGGCATGAAACTTAGAGAGTCCAGAAGAGGGTCACAAAGATGATGAGGGGCTTGGAGCATCTTCCAAATTAGGAAAGACTGAAAGCCCTGGGAATGTTTAGCCCAGAGAAGACTGAGCGGGGTTCTTATCATTGCTTATAAATCTCTGAAGTGTGGGAGTCAAATGGATCAGGCCAGGCTCTTTTCAGTGGTGCCCAGCGACAGGATAAGGGGCAAAGGGCACAAAGTGGAACATCAGAAGTTCCATCTGAATGAGGAAAAGCTTCTTTACTGTGAAGGTGATAGAGCACTGGAACAGGCTACCTTGAGAGACTTTCATTCTCTGAAGATATTCAGAACCCACTTGGATGCTTCAGGGAACCTGCTTTAGCAGGATTTGGACTCGATGATCTCCAGAGGTCTCTTCCAACCCCTATGATTTTGTTATATCAGTCTTGATTAGAAGTACGAAACTTTCTGTGCTCTATGATTGCATTTGTTTGTTTGTTTTTCAGTAAATATTACCTAGTGAGTTTATGCTAATGATTTCCATCATTGGTTTGTTTAAGGAGAGACTTGAGCTATGTGCTCATTCATGAAACTTGAATTGGGTGGGGAAAGTTCCTTGTAACTAGATTTCTTTTTTTTGAAGCTGCCCAGATGACAAATGCAGGCTCTCAGTCTGAAACTGGGATGTTCTTTTCTGTGGTTTTTAAAATTGGTTTACTTCTTCCTTCATACTTAAGTGTTGTCCACTTTTCTTCCCCTTTGACTTGTCCAGATTGTTTTTTTTCACCTCATGTTTTTTACTTCACAGCTTAACTCTGTTCTTTACTAACAGGTTGATGAGATAATGGCAGGAAAAGTGAAGTGGGTAACTGACATAGAAAAATCAGTTCTAATAAACAACTTTGAAAAAAGAGGCTGGATTCAGGTGGCAGAAAATGAGGACTGGAATTTTTATTGGTAAGTACTGGTGTCTAAGTTGTTGAAGTATTTAAATATATTAATAGCTTTAGCAATAGTACAAAATGCATATTTAGAAATAAAAGATGCATGTGTTAGCTTTAATTTGCTGAAGTGCTCCTACAAGTGTAACATTGTTTCATTGCTTCTGTAATTTAAAGAAGAAAAAAAAAATCTAACACTGTTGCTGATCTTTTCCTTGGATTTGTATTAGTAAATCCTGGTATCTGTGTAGGCCTGCTATCGTCGTTAGGATTCATGGGGCCAGAAGGTCCTGTCAGCAGGGATCCTTTCCCCCATCCTTTCTAATGACCTCAGATGCCTTTCCAGTTTCCCAAAGATTTTGTCATGCAGTGGAAAATGATTAACTTAGCAAAGAAGACCATCACTTCTGTGGATGCCTACTGTAAAAACCTCAAGCCAAAGGCTGTAGTTGCTGACGTGGTTTCTGTTTTGTTCTGAAATGTGATACCCAATTTTACTCCAATTTCCTGCACGCAGTAAGCAGAATTGTTCCTTTATGATTGAAGGGGTTCTTTGACCTAAACAGAATCTTTGAAACATATCTTTCCCTCAAATTTTTAGCATACACATGTTTGTGTGTGTTGACAACATAAAGAAAATGATCCATGGTTCTGGTATATGATACAGTATTATTTTATCAGTGTTGCAGGGGCTTGTCCTGTTATCAGAATGCAGACTCCTGTAATAAAGGCATCGAGAACTGCATTCCCCTTCTTGTCCTCAGAAAAGATTTACATGCAGACTTATTCAATATTTCAGTACATTCAGTACGAATGTAAAATTAAATCAAGATAATGGATTTGTTTAATACAAGACGAAGAGGGAGTTGGGCCTTTGGGGAAAAACTAGCGGAGCTCATTGGGAGGGCTTTAAACTAGGTCTGAAGGGGAACAGAGGGGGTAGTGAGCCTTCCCACGATGAGATGTGGAATGGCATAGCTGGATTAGAGGGACAGGGTGCTAGCAGGGGCCTTGAAGGACCCACTGCCTTGAGAGGTGCTGGCAACACTGCAGCACGTACAAAATCCTATGATGGTGTAGTGACTGCTGGGGTAGTAGCAGAAGGCAATGGGGAAAATCAAGGGAGATACTTAAAGGATAACTCCTTTATTCCTTTTAAGGAGGTGGCAGGACCAGCTGCCCAGCTGAAGAGCTTCTACACCAAAGAGCACAGCTTGGCTAATAAACAGGGGGAGCTGGAAGCTACTGTGCTACCAGAAAATTATGGTACAGTTGTTGTCACTGAAACCTGGTGGGATGATTCTCATGACTGGAGTGTGGCTGTTGACTGCTGCAGGCTGTTCAAAAGGGACAGGAGGGAAGGGGATGTTGCTATCTTTATCAGGAAGGAAATAGAATGTAAAGAACTGTCCCTAAAGAACAGTCATGAGCAAGTCAAAAGGCTGTAGGTGACAGAGAGCAAGGCAGCACATGGAGCCTTGTGATCAGTGTCTACTACGGGCTACCTGATCAAGTAGAGCCTGTAGATAAGGCCTTCTACCTCCAGCTACAGGAGGCATTGTGATCATAAGCACTCATCCTGTAGGGGGACTTCAACTACCCAGAAGTCTGCTGAAAAAATAGCCCAGCAAGCTGTAGGCAATCCAGGAGGCTCCTGGAATTCGCTGAAGATGATGTGTACCCTTCAACATCCTTCTCTTCAAATTGGAAAGATATGAATTTGATGGGTGGACTGTTTCATGGGTGAAGGATCCGAGTTCCATGGTTGCAGGATCGAGTCCAGAGAGTGGTGATCAATGACTTAACGTCTGGATGGAAATCGGTGATGATTGGTGTCCCCCAGGGGTCAGTGCCAGGACAGATACTCTTTAATATCTTCATCAGTGACATTGACATTGACGATGGGGTTGAGTTTGCTGGTGATACCAAGCTGTGGGGTGCAGGTGCACCAGAGGGACAGGATGCCATCCAAATAGACCTAGACAGGCTTGAGCAGTGGGCCTAGATGAACCGAATGAGGTTCAACAAATCCAAATGCAAGACTTTGCACCTGGGTCAAAGCAACATCCACTAGCAATACAAGCCAGGGAATGACGAGTGTAGCCCTGCTGAAAAAGACCTGGGGCTACTGGTGGATGGGAAGCTGGACATGAGCCAACAATGTGCCCTCACAGCCGAGAAATCCAACTGTATCCTGGGCTGCATCAAAAGAAGCGTGGCCAGCAGGGTGAAGGTGATGACCCTACCCCTTGACTCTGTGCTGGTGAGGCCTCACCTGGAGTACTGCATCCAGATGTGGAATGCTCAGTACAGGAGAGAATGGAAGTTGGATTGTGTCCAGAGAAGGACCACAAAAATGATCCCAGGGATGGAACACCTCTCCTGTGAGGACAGAATGTGAGAGCTGGGGCTGTTCAGCCTGGAGGAGAGAAGGCTGCAAGCTTACCTGGTAGCAGCCTTTCAATATCTAAAGGGGAGTTACAGGAAAGAGGGGGACTGAGTCTGTGATGATGGAACAAGGGGAAATGGTTTCAAGCTCAAAGAGGGTAGATTTAGTTTGGATAAAGGGGAAAAAATGTTTTAGAGTGGGGGCGGTGAAGCAATGAAACAGGTTGCCCAGTGCTGTGGTGAATGCCCTGTCCCTGCAGACATTCAAAATGAGACTGGATCAGGCTCTGGGCAGTGTAATCTGGCTGTGCACAATGTCCCTGTTCATTGCAGGAGAGTTGGACTACATGGCCTTTAAAAGCCCCTTCCAACTCCAAGGATTCTCTGATTCTAAAACTGAAATGCCATCACAGAATGCAATAATCTACGGGGGCTACTCCAAAAGTAATGCCTCCTGTTTTGTTAAGCCAGCCCATGATAGTATAGGCGGATGTTAGTGGTGTGGTGGTGGGGGCTGGACCTTTCCACCAGTATTCCTTTATAGTTTGTTGCTATGTGACAGCAGCAGAGGGACAGTCTGACCAAATGGCATCTGACTTGGAAGTGTGACATTGAATTCCTTTTTGTGGAAAAAATGGCACCCATTGACATTCATTGATGCTTGCTGAATGCTTATGGAGTGGCTGTTTGAAAGGGAGGGTATAAATGGTTTGGTATACTTAGAGGTGCTTTTTCTGCCATTTAATATGTAGGTTGCTCCAAAAGTAATGCCTCTTATTTGTTTCCATGGAAACTACAACAGATACAAAGAGCACAAGAACACCATCTGATAGTGTAAATTCTCTGCAACAAAACACTATTTTTTCAACGTAGTCCTTTTCAAATATGACAGAATGGCAGTTCATACTGCTGACTGTGCTTTTTGTTAACCACTTATTAAATGAGTAGGAGTGTAGTAATCTGCTTGTTTTTAGAATGCAGCTGAGGGGAGGAGTGGGGGAGCAGGACACTCGTGGAAATTGCTGTGTGACTGATTTGGTTTTGTTTTGCCTTCTTCCTGGAACGATAGCCCTGCAGATTGTGAATTTAAGAATATTTCCTGAATGCCATCATTGTGACACCTTTAATATAGAAAACTGTGTTTTTGACCCTACTCTTGTATTCTGTGAGAAACGAAGTAAACAGCTGATTTGGTGTGGTTGCTGTAGTATTCTGCTCTGTTATCTACAGGTGTTTTATTAAGATCTGCGATGCACTAATTTCCGTTCATATGCTTGACGCCCTCCAGAAATATAATAGCAAAGTAACCAGTAGTGATGGTTTTGTGGCTTTTTTTTTTTTAATGAGAGAAAAACTGAGTTCCAGAGAGAAAAGCAATAAATTAGAAAGATATTTCTGTAGCATTTGGGTGTGTAGGAGTAATTTGTAGACCCTGCTGAGGGCTGACCTGTCTATCAACAATCCAGAGTCTAGTAGAGACAAGTTTTCCTCTTTCTTGCCTCACCAGCTGCCTCAATTTTATTAGTATAGGAAATGATAAAGCATCTGGAAAGATTTCATTTGCTAACAGAGATTCAGAATATGTTAGATTGTCACTGAAGCTAAATATTTTGCTATACAGAGCAAGGAAGAAGTGTGAGAGGGAGGAGATGAAGTGACGTGACTGTGTGGTGCATAGATACCTGCTGGGTATGCTGTGACATACACAGTTTCAACTCTGATCTCCTTAGAGAAATCATCTGCTGTCTGTCTTTGTTTTCAGGATGAGTGTACAAACAATCAGAAATGTTTTCAGTGTGGAAACTGGTTACCGCCTTTCTGATGACCAAATTGTCAACCATTTCCCCAATCACTACGAACTGACCAGAAAAGATTTGATGGTAAAGAACATCAAACGGTATAGGAAAGAACTTGAGAAGGAAGGAAGTCCTCTTGCAGAAAAGGATGAAAATGGAAAATATATTTATTTGGGTATGTGGTTCTCATTATCTGTGTTAACTTTGCCTTCTGTGTTGTTGATAAACTGACAGCATTGTAACTTAGAGAAACAGAACAGCACATTAATGAACATATTCTAATGTACGTGTTGCAACGTATCTGCAATGAATTTTGTAAGAAAAACTGTTGCTTGCAAGTAGTACAAGCAACCGAGATTACCCATTTTTACCAGTTTGTGTTCAGAGACATAAAACTGATGTATTTTAATTATCACATGCAGGTAATTTAGCTGCAGCGTAGCTTGTCTTCCAGTAGGGAAGGAATTTTGCTGGGTTTTCTGAACTTCTAAAGTGTTCCAACACTCAAGTGGCTATCTGTCAGCAGGTGCTCTGTCAATAACAGTCAGTTAAACAGAATAAAGTGTACTCTATCCTAAAACTGTTCTGTGTTCTGCAAATGTTACTGTCTTCTTTCATTGTCTTTTTCTCCTTCTCACTTCCTACAAAGCTGTCATTAGAGCATAAGGAAACAGATAGGAATAGGGAAAATGATTTAACATGATTTAACAGTAGTAGCAAACATTTCTTGTGAAAAGCTTGGAAAATATAGCATTTCATAAACCTTGTTTTGAAGCAGAATAGCTAACATTTTATAGATTTGAGAGAAACAGAGTGTGGGGTTTGTTCAAGAACTGCTGAAAATAGAGACAAAGGAAGGCTAAAAGATTGTTTCTGTCATACTACTACAGCAGTAATGTGGTTCTGCCACTGTCTACTTGCGAGCATTCAGGAATATTCAAAGAGAAGAACACATCCTCTTTGTGTGTGTTAAATTTGTATTTAGATGTGGTTAGGTAAGTAAGTGCTTAATGAAAACTGAACTTATCAGTGCAACATTAATTGAAGAAACATGGGTGAAGTGATCATGAAATGATTATGTCAGGATATACAAGAATAGATTTGTAAGTGTGTGTGTATATATATATATATATAGTTTTTAAGTGGGAATATTATGGGAGTAATATATTTTGCTCTAAGATCATTGGTGGTACAGATTGACCCTGGAACATCATGTCAAAAAAAGGTTGGAGTTTCTTTAAATCAAATCTGGGAAGGAAAAAAAAAAAAAAAAAATCTGGAAATCCTATACTGGAGCAAAAACTTAAATAAAAAGTAATTTTTGGTAGAAAGGCTTCTGCCAGAATGGGTAAGCTTTTTAGAAGCAAAATTTAGGGGAAGTTGGAGAACTGATAACGACTACTAGGAAATAAAATTTAAAAGGCAAGCAAGCATCAAAACAATAGACTGGGAGAGAGAAGAGCAAAGTTGTCTTGGAGGTGTGCAAACATTGCAGTGGAATAGAGATGGGGACATGCCGAGTTGATTTACATCCAGGGAAAGTGAAATGAAATCACTGTTTATCCATGTAAGAAAGAAGTAGTGCTATATGGGCGGGACTGAGAATAATCAGATAGCAGAAAGCACGAAATACCTCTCTTTAGATTAGCAAGTATGGTAACACTGAGCCTGAGAATAAAGAAAAAATGACTCATGAGACTAGCACAGAAATTAAAAATTGCCACATCTGAAGAGGAAACAACATCAACATTTGGGTATTTGTGTGTACAGAGAGGATGACAGGATGGGGTGGCTTGCAGAGTGGTAAAAGCTGACATATGAAGATGAGGGAATCTGCTAACAAGAGTTTAGTTGCAGTGGTGTATAATACTATAATTGGGCATCATTTAAACAGAAGAAAAATTATTCAAATAAATAAAAGTTCACTAGTCTGAAATTAGCAGCATACTAAAGCCATTCTTTAAGTAAAAATCATAAACTAAATGAAATAAAAAGCAGCATGTGTTGTATTGGAAGTTGATCATGCCAGATTAGAAAAACTTGCTCTGTAATAATGAAGATTCCTCTTTAGATGTACTGTCCTTAATGGTGCACTCTTTTTTTCTTTTTCGACTCAGATTTTGTTCCAGTAACTTTTATGCTTCCTGCTGATTATAATCTCTTCGTTGAAGAATTCAGAAAGAATCCTTCCAGCACTTGGATTATGAAACCTTGTGGTAAAGCTCAGGGAAAAGGAATATTTCTAATCAATAAACTGTCTCAAATTAAAAAATGGTCTCGAGATAGCAAAACATCCTCGTAAGTGCTTAAAAACTAAACCCGTTCTTGTTCTTCTATAATCAGATGAACCACATCAGCGTGCTGGTAGTCTGATGCATGGGAAAGTTATTCTGCTGTTATAGCTTTGTCATTATATAGATAGTTTTGCATTTAATCTCAGTTATCTGACTTTGTCATTTAAACAGGTCTTAATATGGTTTATGTTGGTGTGAGAAGATATAAAGAACAGTTAGAATAACTATTCTCTATTTAAAAAAAAAAAAATGCTTTCAGTGTCTTTGGGATAATGTGCAAAAACAAATTGTTCTGCTCTAACAGGAAGTGAAGACAAAAATCTTTCCCTGAGCAATTTGTATCATGATTTTATTGAATACATATTGATTCACTTCTTAAATTAGTGCAGAGGAGGAATGTGTATGCGTGAAATAAATTCGTTATCTGTTTGGAGCACAAAGGAGTACACCTCATGTGGGTGTCATGCTTTCAAATAGACTTAACGGTGTAGCAACCTATGCTTTTCTCTGACTAAAAAGTGTTTTGATCTCAAAGCTAATGCTGATTTTTTTTCCCTGTTACAAGTTGACTGGCTGAATACCCCTTGAGACATTTTTTTCTGTTTATCTTGGAATCTGAAGAATGTCACAGTCTGAAAGCTAGCTTTTCACAGTGGTTTGCCTTGGCAAACCAAGCATAAATACAAACATTCTAGGAATATAAGGCCCTGAATAATGAAGGTAATGTAATACATGCTTCTTGCTTGTCTGTAGACAAGCTCTAGATGTTCTCAAGAGAAAAGAAAAGACTGGTGTGTAGAACTGCTTTCTGAGTGGCTCAGTTAGCTGCCCTGCCAAAATCAAAACTGAGTTTTAATGGTTAATTGATACTGGTCTTTAGGTTTGTATTTTAGTCTTGCCGTTTTTTTGAACATAATGCCTGCTGCCAAGTGTGTTATTGTTAACCAGTATAACTTTGTACGCTATTTTGTCAGTGAGGTGCAAGATTTCTGTTAATTCAAAACTTACAAACTGTTTACTTGTGTGTTACAGGTTTGTATCTCAGTCTTCCAAGGAAGCCTATGTGATTTCTCTCTACATCAACAATCCATTACTGATTGGGGGAAAGAAATTTGACCTTCGTCTGTATGTTTTGGTATCTACGTATCGCCCACTGAGATGTTACATGTAAGATTGTGTAGAGATGTGTTTTATTGCAAGAGAACGTTTAACGTAGTCAAAATAATGTTGCCAGTGTTGCATAAAGAAGTTTAATGTGTACGCATATCCTAGGATGATCTTTTCCTTCCTTTTTACTGGGATTTAACATACCTCAATGACTTTTTGCATTTAAGGTATAAACTTGGATTTTGCCGATTTTGCACAGTAAAATATACACCAAGTACGAGTGAACTGGATAACATGTTTGTACATCTTACAAATGTTGCCATTCAGAAACATGGGGTAAGTGTATCAAGTTCTTAGGTGCTATTCTCCAACAAGACTGATTTTCTTAAGATGTCCGAAATAATTGAATAAGAAGGCTCTATTTGTCATATTCTTCATCATCTTGCAATTAAAATGTCTCAGCTTGACCATAAAAAAAAGTTTTAGAAGACTGCAGATAAAATGTATGCAAGATAAGGAACTGCAAGTTCTGTAATTGACTGTGATGCCTTCAGTCTTGACTTGCAGTAGTTGAAAGCAATTTCTTTCCGAGTCTCCTGTCATTTAAATGCTAATGTACTCACTTAGCAATTGGTTCCGTGAGCAGTGGAATTAATGAAGCCCGGTTATGGTGGATCTGCATTTTATAATGGCACTTGAAGATCTCCTCTTCCCTTTTTCTTGGCCATGCGGTTAATTCAGCTTTCCTCTTTTCCAGCACTTATTTATGACAGTGGCTTCCAGCATTTTCCTATGTTTCCACCCTCTTTCTCCTCTGTGTAACAAAGGGAGTGTGCATTTGTGGACTTGTGATAAATGTTTGCTTCCTGGCCAGCTAGTGGCTTCCTCTGGAAAGCATAGAGATAGAATTCAGCCTGTGCAATTGTTCCGTCCTCTAATTTGCTGTTGATATTCTTAAAACGAATGTGTGGAAACCTGATAGCTTTGACAGCATCCCCTCTGCCCAAATAAGCTGATATTCCCCAGTAGGAGGAAAGGCAAGTGGGTTAGAGGTAACATTAACAGTTGGACATGTGGTATAACTGCCTGAGCCTTGTTTCTTCAGGGAATCCACTTGATGATGATTATTGACCTGTTTGCCTTTAGCAGATGACTGCGTTTTGTAAAACGTGCCTCTGTTACAGGAATTTAAGCTGTTGTTTCACTTCCTAATCTTGTGGGTTTCATTTTTTTAAGAGCACTGAAAATATGTACGTATACATGAGTGTTTGTGTACACACACACATGGACACTCACAAAACAAACATGCTTTGTCTGTTATTGCTTTGTAAGATGTGCAGCACAGCAGAGCTGTTTTTTATCTGGATACTCCCGTAATAAAAGTTTCAACTGTGAATGTGACTTATGGTAATCATAAATCAGAGTAAGTGTGAAAATATTGGGGGTTTTTTGGTACTGAAAATATTTTCTTGCCTGGGTGCTGATTTGTGAATTTGAGATGTTATGATTTGAAAAGGCACTGAGAATTAGTTGGGGTGAAAGTAATTCCCATACAACGTAGAGTGTAAGTCATGGTTTTGTTGCCAGCAGCAGAGAAGAGATGAGGCATATGGTGTGCTGCCTCTCCTGTTATCATTCAGCCTTTCGTCTTCCATTTAAAACCTGTCTGCAACTTTGGAGGCAGCTGAGCCATACAGTTCAGAATAACCTAATTTGAACTGTCAAGTGATTTATCAAAGTTATGATAAGGTCTGGAAAATCTTTTAGGTTTTGCCCTTCAACTGTACCCTAAACCCTGCGTGAACTCTGGAGTTACTGTGTCTGTACCACACAAGCTCATGGGAAAGCATCAACAAATTGAAAAGCTTATAATTCAGATTCAGGGAGAGAGAAAGGTTAAAGAAAAGAAAGGAGGGTTAAGTATGCCCATTGGAATGTTTCTGCTAGAAAATATAATTGTACTTAGTTGTTCACTGTGTGTGTAATGCAAGCAAAGTGAAAGTGATTCTTCTACTTCATTGTTTTCACTTAGCGATATTCCATGTTGCCTGCAGTATTCTTCTTTGCTTTGGTATTTTTAACAACACAGCTGTGATTGTGCAGAGCTCTGTCCACTTGCAATCTATTTTGATTTTGAGTACTTATTTTGAAATGCGGGGAGGGTTGAAAAGTTGATCTCTGTCCTCTTTCTGGAATCTGTGATCTTAAGACATTTTGTCCATGGAGAGAGTGCTGAGAGCCACGTTTCAGATCTTTATTTGTCTATCAAATTTACTGTGGGGGGAAGTTGTAGGAAACAAACAAAAACCCCTAAAAATTGATGAGAGGTTTCTCTGACCTTGTTTTAGAGGACGAAAAGTTTGATTCTTCTGACAACTTATCCTACTGTAGGCATTCTGTGTTTTAGAACTCAGCAGGTATAGAGTCATTAACTCTTAGAAGTGCCCTGAGGAGAATCTTCAAAAAGGGACAAAATGTTTGTCCTGTGAGCTATTTGAGAACTGAATGTGTCTTTCCATCAGTAAAAATACCTTCACTTTGCTTTTGTCTTTCCTTTTAAAGAGAATATATTGCAGGGCATTGATTGCCTCTGAAAAGACAAATATAAAGTAACCTTCTTTTTTTCCGCTGTTCTGTTTCAGTAGTACTTAATGTGTTTTCTACCTGGAATACTGAATTACTTAAGAAAGCAGTATTTAAAGGTAATTCAGGTGTTATTTCAGTGTCTTCATGATTGCAGCTGTTGTCAGTTGCACCATTAAAAGTATATAATAGCTGTCTGTTTCCTGAAAGGACAAGTCCTTTTAAGTTGAGATTTATTGCTTGATGTGCTGTGTCCTATAATACTTGCAGCTGTAATACAAATGGTCATTTTGTATGGAGGACCTAAATATGTAAAACAGAGTAAAAACGATTTGCTGAGTTCATTTTTAAGGCGATATTTGCATGCAGGTAGAAGTGGGCTCTTTATGTGAATGGAACAAAACTGCTGAGCAACTTCAGAATCTTAAAGACTGACTTAATTCCTTAACTCTCCAGGATGATTACAATCATATCCATGGAGGCAAGTGGACAGTGAGTAACTTGCGCCTGTATCTGGAAAGCACCCGTGGAAAGGAAGTTACAAACAAGTTATTTGATGAAATTCACTGGATAATCGTGCAGTCGCTGAAGGCTGTTGCGGTGAGTACTGTGCCTAGAATGCTGTCACATTGCTGCCTAGAATGTGACAACATCATGGCTGCAGGATTTTCATCAGAGTGAAAGTGAGTTTGCCCCTAGAAAAACCTGAAATGTATTTCCTGCTTTTTGAGTGGCAACACCGATGCCAATTTCTGCAATTCTGTGATGTGCTGATTTGTCTGAGCTGAGTGAATTTGAATCTTTTGTGGGTGAGCATGCTGAAGAGCTGAACGAATCTATCTCCTTGAGGGTCCTTTGAGCTAATTAATATGACTGGGTACTGCCCTTGTGAATAGTACTGAGCTCTACCAGGGCCCATGATGTCACTTCAGCAATAATGTGTCAAAGAAAAAATAGCTGCGGGGGACAATTTATCACACAAAATGTTGAAGGGTATTAGCTTAGCAGACTTGCATAGCTTATTTTCAGCTCTGCTATATACGGGTCATGGAGTTATCCGTGAAATGTTATCCTTTTTTGAAATTTTTTCTTTATAATAGTTTTCTGCTTGAGTGACTTTCTAGCTTGGGTCATATCCCATGATATGTTAAAGAGCAGGTACTGTGCCATGGGTCAGCAGGGGTAGCTGAAGAGCTTTCTGCTGCCAAGAAGAGCCTGTTCTCAAGTGCATGGTCTTGTCATCTTTCTTGGGCTGGTCCTGGCACCATTTTGAGTTGAATCAGCTCATTCTTCCAAATGAAAATTACTGATTTTATTGATGCGTTAGTATTCTGCTAGTGTAATAAGCTGAATCACCTCAATGAAGGATTGGGTGGATGCCAGAACCAGCACAAGAAAGAGGGACAAGGTCGTGAAGTTAGGATCAGTGGGGTGAGGCTCAGCCCAGCCTCTGCTACTATGCAATCACTTTTAAAACCAGATGTGAGAGGAAAAGGAATTTAATCCAAAGCAGAACCTTAGGAGAAAAGGTTTTGAGAATATAGAGGACAAAATGTTTTGATCAGCTGCAGTGCTTCTCTGTCTGTCAGAGAATGGCAGATGTAACAAGAGATGCTCATTCCTCCTTTCCCGCTTTCACTCCCTAAGGAACTGAAAAGCTTTCATTATTAGTCTAGGGGAAACCATGTCACTAACCTGTTACAAAGGTTTCTTTAAAAGATCTGATGAGATTTATATGAAAGTCTTGGCATGCATGCTGTAAATCCTTTGCAGAGGCTGGAAAACTGACTCTCCAGAGAGTGTGCTTCTAAGTACAACTTGATCCTTGGTCTCTGTTGGCTTTCAAGATCACAGATGACTTGAACTAACTGTAGATTTGAAAAGTATCTGGGAATTGTTTGACCTAAAATTTCTGCAGCAAAGGAAATGTCCACGAATAAGTCTTCTATCTCTGAAGCATAAATAATTCATGATTATGTGAAGCTGTGTTATGTACATTTTTAAATGTCCTGATTTCTCTGGGTACATGCAGGCTGTAAATATTCTTACTACTTTTGCAAAATATGAGAATGCTTTTATTTTAAAACTGGAAACACAACGGAGTACTGATGCAATTGGGTACTTGGCATTAATGCAGTCATTAATATTGAAATATTTACCAAGAGCTTGAGGAGAGAGTCCTGAAATTATTTTTAAGCTTACTTGAGAGTAATGTTAGCGTATGTATGTTAGAGTTATGTTAGCTTATGTTGTAAATGATTTGTAATCACATGACTTCTAGCCAAGAAAGTGTGTAATCAGGTTACTTAGGAAGTTGAAGGTTTTAATGTATACTCTTGTTTTTTCTAGCCTGTAATGAATAACGATAAACATTGCTTTGAGTGCTATGGATATGACATTATCATTGATGACAAGCTTAAGCCGTGGCTAATTGAGGTAAAGTCACACAAAATACAGGAATAACTTCCCACTGATTTTTTTTCACAGTATAAAACCAAGTAGATTTACATGTAGTCATTTCTGTTTTGAAGCTTTGTCTTTTGTTCCTCTAGTAAGTGGATTAGGCAAAACATTAGAATGTAAAATAGACCTTGTGATGACCAAGCTAGCATGTGCTTTTTTAAATTTCTATTTCTTTTGTCTTTTTGTTTGTGGCTTTCCCTTTTGTCTTCTAAATCCAGTGCATCCTTGTAATTAGACTTCAGAGGCTATCTGAATGGTAGCAGCCCTGTTAGATACTCTATGAGTAGCTGGAAAAATGACTTGATGGGGAGTGACACTTAAAGTAATTGGGATGTTTGGAGGGCTTCTTTTATGAAAAGAATTTAATATATCACATTTGGATCTGTACATTCAGTGTAAATTCTATCTAAACATCTTCTCAATCTTTTTGAAGTGAAAGATCAAAGCTGTTTATTGTTGTGGTACTGTTTCCCCATAACAAATGTGGAATGCAAGAGATATGTTAAACTAACCCCAGTTTCAGCCTTCACTAAAAAAATAATACGCAATTGAGTGTTTTGAATAGAGACATGGAGCATATGTGTTTCTTCAGCTCACAATTCAAAAGGGGAAACCTTGAATTAAGAACACGAATAAAAGCTGTTTAACTAGAAGAAACCTACGGATTCCTGTGTGTAACAAACATTGGACTGAATCAGGCACTGAAATTTATGGTTTTGGTATCCATAGAAGCTTAGAAAACTAAACAAAAATTTCTGGCTTGTCTGTTTGACCCTGGGTAACTTAGTTTAAAGAAAAATCTTCAGGCTGACGCTGCAGACACACTTCAGTTTTAAGTTCAAAAAAAAAATTAAAAAAAATTCCAATGGGGGATTCCTTTCAACATCTGAGGAAGTGAAAGATGTGCTTTGAGATGCTGATTCTTGATTGCTCAAATAGTACATAAAGTCATACACATGCTGCTTAGGGAACTATTCTACTCATAAAAAATGATTCTTTTTTTTTGTAGGTTAATGCTTCCCCTTCTCTTACTTCCAGTACTGCTAATGATCGCATCTTGAAGTATAATCTCATTAATGACACACTGAACATTGCTGTGCCTAATGGGGAAATTCCAGACTGTAAATGGAATAAATCTCCACCTAAAGAGGTTCTTGGCAATTATGAAGTCTTGTAAGTTTTAGCATTGTTTTGTATAACTGCAAATGTTTTTCAGTCATCTCACTTCTTTTTAATGTGTAATGTAGACCAAAGAGATAAGGCAAACTTTATTCTCCCATTTTTTGAGGCTGTATTAGCAGCTTTGGAGGTGGGAGTGTGTCCTTCATTCTCTGAGGGAATCTTACTTGTCTGATAAACCTTTGTGTGTACTGAGCTTCCAGCAGCTTCTGCATGTGTAGAGTCTTAATTGTATGAAGTACATATAATATTGTATTATATATATATAAGATATATACACTGTAGTTAAACATATAAAACTTGTATCAAATAGTTGTTACCCTTATGTTCACGAAATTGATGCTATTTGAATCTTGTAGATCTTAGATGTAATAATAATAATGTAGTACCAGGAAATTTTTTTTAATTACCAAATTTAGTATTATTAAAGGGAAAAATCAACAGACGTTTTTACATTGGAGTGCCTGAAGTATCAGCCTAGGATTGATCTTATGCAGAGGAGCACTGTTGTAATGACTGTATTGATTGCAGTTTCAAATACTTACTGAGAATGGCCCAGTTAGGTTCTCAAATCCTAATGGTGCAGCTGTTTAGTATATCAAGAATGTGGTTATGTGCATAGTCAGCCCAGTAGTTCATGCCAATCTTACACTCCTTCTAGATATTGGTAAAGACAATTAAATGTGTTGCGTGGATTATAAATTAATTTTTAATGTGTTTGCACCTACCATGTAATGTTTTTGTACAAGAGTATAACTAAGCATATATTATGAATGCTCTACAAAATATGATAGTATTATCTTTTGATAATTGTACATAAGCATCTGTAGTCAATGTCTGTCATTTGCACAGCAACTGAGCAGTAAGTGTATATACTGAGGTTATCTGAGGCTCTAATGGGCTTAGATATTTAAAGAACTGCTTGCCACTGTGGTTAAGTGTTACAAAATGCACGTCATTAAATGCATTTGGTTAAGCACGCTGTTGTTTGTTCAGCTCATTTTTTTCCTACTCACTCAGTGTTGCAACAGTGGAGTTTTCTAACACTGCAGTTAGCAATCCTCTGCTTGAAGCAATAGCTTAAGATTGGATTGAAGTGCCAGCAGTCTGATGTTCCTGCTCTGCTGTGTAAGAGCAATATTGAGAAGGGCAGAAGTGCACATGAAATTTCACAAGCATGAAATTTCACGAACTCTGTAATTGAACCAAAGCTACCAAGCAGTCTGTTTCTTACCAAAACTAGCTGAGGATGTTTCAGTTGGTCTGTATTGTAAACCAAGTGGTAGTATATTACCTCGAATAATAGCTGTATTTCAAACTGTGCACTCATAAACGTGTTCGTAGAACAGCTTGTATTAAATGTCAGTGCTAAAGAATAGTGACTAGTAGGCTAAGGTGCTGAAAAAATTCTGTCTTCTTCAGATATGATGAAGAGATGGCGCAAAGCGATGGTTCTGATCGTGACTTGCGAAGTCGTTCCGGGCAATCCACTGGAACAAAAGGAAATCGTGGGAGAGATTCAGGAAAGCCTGTACTGACCACCTGGAAATAATGACTAAGCAGAACAGCTGCTGAGTTGGTAGGACAGCATCATGAAAAAATGAGTTCATGAACAGATTTCTCTATTTCACCATGTTGTGTGAGGGAAACAATCAAAGAAAACAATACAGCCTTTGAAAATAAGTGAAATGAGCACTCCTAAACCTGGATCTTTATAATACATGCACTGACTTGCCAATTATACACATGCATGTATATATATTTAAAAAGTATAATATATGTAATTAATTTAATACAAGAATATTTAAGCTTGTAGTTCTCTGAAAGCAACAAATTCTACATTTTTAGAAGCATCTCTGTTCGGACGTTGGAGAAGCCAGTAATTACTATGAGGTTTCTTTATAAAGATGACGTTTAAGAATACATGTTCTGATATACAGAGCAACAAGTGTTCTGTAATTTATTTTCTCAAGTAGCTTATCTCTACATTCCTGTGATAAAAGAGATACAGATAATGGGAAAGAGTAGTAATGGTGAGCGTCAGTATTGTCACAATGGTGGTTCAGCTGCTTGCTAGGAAAAAAAATGTAACAAGGGAAAAAACAGCAGTGTATGGAGTTGAGACTATTGTCAATTAAAGTGGCTAAAGATTTATGACCAGTCTTAGGTACTTGAAAAGTAAATCTTTACATGCAGGGCTTTTTGTTTGTTTGTTTGCTTTGTTTTTGTTTTTTTTTTTTGCTTGGGTTTTTTTTTGTTTGTTTTTTGTTTTGCCTTTAGATATTTTGGAGCTGATAATTCTTTAAAAGTAGAAAGTTTCATGTAAACAAGGAATGTTTCAGGTAGTATGTTGATGTATTATTGGGCTAGCCATTAGTTTTTACTGCAAGGTAATTTGTCTTTGGAAAATCAGGCAGAACATCTATAACTGTAATAAATCTGATTGCTTGAGAATGGCTGTAAATTGACTGGCTGTAAATCTTTACTTGCACTAGAATTTCTTCATGTAAGTACTTCTGTGTCTTTTTGTGTATTTTGTATGTACTACCACAACAATATTGTTGCATGCGATAAACTATTTCTAGCTCTGATTTCAAAAGTTGTGATGATTGGATACTGAAATGTATAGAGCAAAAATAGGTATTTTGGTCTTCTAACAGCATAGTGTATAAACTAACCAGCTGGGTCCATCAGTGGCTACCTTCACTTACATTTCCACCAGTTGTTGAGCTGTTACTTATAATGATGTCTCGATGTGCAGCTCTGATAATCTTTCTTCATCATTATTTCTCTGTCCTCACTCCCCTTCCCCTTTATTTTTTTTTCTTTGATTATGAAGTGTTATGGAGAGAAATACAAAAGGAGGCTTAAAGTTACAAATATCCATGCACCTGTAATAAACTCTAATCTGGATATCACTAATGCAGCAATACTCAATTTCTGTCTGTCACAGCAGGCTAAGTACTTTTCACCTTTCTGTGTGGCAGGGCTGTATAAGTGCGTACATTTTAAACTTAGCCTCTCCTGATGCCCTTAGACATGATCTGGGATTCATCCTTGCAAAAAAGAATGAAATACATGGACTGAGTTGGTTACTCCAAGTGTAATTTTCATCTTCATTAATCTTGGCTGTTTCTTTGAAATAAAGACCAAAATATAGCTGATTGTCTGGTCATTAGACTTAATGAATCTTCTCACTGGCCTTTACAAAAGCATATTCAATTTGGCTCGTGAAGTAAGTTAATATTATTGCATGGCAGTGAAGCTCTTCTAAATCCCAGGTCTCATAGCTGTTAGGTTTGGTGTGTTTTAATTCTTTTTTAATTCTTGAGCCTGAGTTTTGCTTCAGTACTTGAACCTCAACAGGTAGGCCACTCATAAGTAGATGTACAGTCAGATATTATGTGTTGTGTTAATGACGGGATACTTAGACAGACATTTCCTGCTTTTGCCCAAATTGGCTGTTACTACAAAGTATGTAACAAGTTGACAACCTTAGGAAATAATAGGCTGTAATATTCTGTAGTATGGTTGTATTTCTTACAGGTAATGCAACAGGGGTGCTCAAATAGAAGGAAAACAGCTTTCTCTCACTTCAATTTCCACTGCTTTTAACTCCTTTCTCTAGTAGCCTGTGCAAAGGATGTTACTGTGGTCTTGTTATAACAGTAGTGCTTGCAATTGAGGCTACAATAGAATGATTACTCTTCCCCTTTATCTTTTTCCTGTTTGTGCAGCCTACACTAGTGGGGCTCTATACAGAAGAGGTATATTGAGAAATGCTGATTCTGCTGAAAAAGTCAACTGTACTATAGCTTTTTAAGTGTGCAGAAGCATTACATACTAGGCCAGCTGCAGGACTTGCAGTCTGCCTTTTGGGAAAGCTTAGCATGAAGGTAAGAACAAGTCCAGGTTATTAGCAGCTATTGGTGTAGGCGGCTATAGAGAACTGTGTACTTACTTATGATTTCACAATGAACCAAAACTGGTTATAATTTCAGAATAATGTTGTTCTTCCAAACTCATGTGTACGTGGTACTCTGTTGGCAGTAGTGTCTTTGCAGCTAGCTGATGAGTTGAATCATGGCCTCGAGAACAGACATTGGCAAGACATACCGAATAGGAACGGCAATACTGAATATTTTACTGATATAGAATATTCTCATTTAATTGATAGGAGGTTTCTAATGGCTTGGAAAGGACCCACTCATTTGAGCTTGCATTTTCATTAATCAGTATAATAATGCATCCCTTCCAGTCCTGACTTCAGAACAATCATTATCATATTAAATCAAAGTCTTACTATTGCTTTCAGAAAATATGGATTTCTATCTCATTTCTATTTCATTCACACATTTCAAGAGCAGTATTTTATACGGACAATATTTTTGTAGCAGAGCTATCAATTTGGAACAGGCAAATGCTTCTCTCTGACCACGTGTACCAGTGGGAAAGCAAATTTCAAACACCTTATGTGAGGATGAAATGTCTGTTGGATATTTCAAGGATTATCATCACTACCTCGATATTAAAACAGTAGTACTACTAATCGGAGCGGGAAAAAACAACACTTCTGATACAAAACTTTCACTGTGTAGTAATAAAAAACTAGAATTTAGATGTCAAATGTTGATATAGTATTTTACACAGTTGTATCTTTAACCAGTATTGGTAATTTATATTGCAGACACAAACATGGTTTTGGTAATGCAGCGTTCTTTAAAGAGCAAGAAGTCAAAGAGGCTGCAGCCGTAGTGACCCTCTCTTCCTGATCTCACCCCATTCTCTTTTTAAACACAATGCACTAGTGATTAGAAATAGCAGGCTCTTTTCCAACAGGCTTTTTGCAGAGGTTGAAGTTCAAAGGCTTAACTATGTTATCACTTTGAATACATTGAAAAAACTGGGTATGCAAAAGAAGTCTTAGGGAACAAGACTGAAATGACGTTAAATAGATGATTAATAGTGCCTTTCTCATTATCAGTTACAAGCGAGCAAAAAAACAACTGGAAGCAAGCTGCAAGTCTTCCTTTTCTATAAAGAACTTGAAGCCTCCTCCTATAGATAAGTAGAATGTTCTTGTGAAAATAAAAAGTAGGAAGCTACATTGTTATGTAATATCTATTTTCCTCCGAACTTTTGGTTGAAAAATACGTTGCTTCTTCACTGGAATTTGGGCAAGGAAAGAACTGTGTTCTGTGGTAGCTGAGAGTTTGCTCTGTACATGAAACAACTTGTCTGCAGGCTGCAAGACAGGGGGATGAGAAGGAAACAAAAGCAGTCATAGCTTTCTGGGAGAGAAGGGTAGTATGTGAACGCCGTGCCATGAGATGTTTGTGCGTGGCCTAAAAAGGTAAAGGTGAAACTTTCCTTTTGGTGAGGAGGAGAAACCAGGAAGGAAAATTTTATCTCATGTTCAAGATTTTATCACTGCATTTTTCTCTCCAGTGCTCCTTTGACTAAATCCACTGCTGTAGCAGGGTGGAAATAGTGCTACCAAGTGATGTGTAAACTGATAACAGCCTATGTGTAGCATCTATCAGTTGGAACTGAGGTCATTAGTCAGATGTGTAAGCAGTATGTAGGATGTCTGCTACAGGATTTGAAGGGAGTTAAGTAAAGGTGTGATGTTAACGTGTGTGTTACGAGATATTAAATACTGTGTGGATACCTTCATGTGAATATAAGGAGCCTAAATTTCCAAAGGAGAAAAGGCTGTTTTACCTCTATTTGCTAGGGGTTAAATGGGTTTAATGGGTTCTGAGCAACTGACTTTGGCCCTAGGCCAATCATACTCATACATTTGACTTTAGCATAAAGAAACTGTTTTGAGTCTCATTGGGGCAAAATAAATGAGAAATAGAAATCCTCCAAAGTTCTCACTTTGCTTAATGTACTAACTGGCTGGGCAAAGCTACAATAAATGTGCTTCTAAGTCTTGCAGTTCATATGCTTAAGTGATCTGTGGTATAACGGCAGTATTGTATGAAGAATTAAATAGACCAGCTCTAAACAGCTATGGGAGTTGTTATAATGACATCAGTGTAGAAGGAGCTTATTGCTGGAATTGAATACTGGGGCTTGCTTCCCGGGCACTAACCTTTCTCCCTATTAATTCTTTGACATGGATGGCATTAATAAGATTCCCACAGAATAGCTTCTTTATGCAGCTTTAGGAACTTAACTAGAATAGAAGAAACAGTATTATCCCTAAAGCTATTTTGTTGCTGTTGGCTTTACAATAGAGCTTCAGCCTAAAATGTCCCTGTCCGGATTCACTTCCTGCTGTAAATGCAGCAAAACAATAGACGTTTCACAGAAGATATATAGCACTGCACTTCAGCAGGAGAATGTGTCAGGCAGAGCTCATCTATCTGTCATCAAGGAAGGAGCTTTATTCTGTCAGGATAAACCGATGCTGTGTCCAAAGTAGTTACTGTTCAGTTTATGTATGTGGAACTATAACCAGAAGGTAACTTTCGTCTTGTGCCTGCCTTATTAAAACAGCTCACTCAATCCCGCAGTTCAGTGGGAAGCACGCTGTGCCATCTGGTATGTGGGTATCACAATGAAACACTACCGTCCATAGCTAGCTATGCTAACCTCTAGGGTTCCTTCACAAAGAAATAACTTTATTCCTGGATTTCTTGCAGAAAATAAATGTGTAGAGCTGAGAAAAGCTGATTTTAGTCATAATTTTGGTAAAATTTTTGATTATTAAGAGGAAGTAGGAAGATATATGGCTGTCTTGGAAAGACTGTTTGTTTTTACTGAGTAGTAGGAAGTTGCTTGTGCTACACTTTTGGCTGTTGTATTTATTATTATTATTATTATTATTATTTAATATTTTCTAAAAATACTCTTTAAAATTTGCTGTCAGAGTGTAGGTGAGCTTCAAGAAACTCACCATACTTGGAGTAGTCCACAGCCAGATCATTTCCAATTGTTTTGATGACATAGTGGCATCCCTATCATTGATGTTGTCCTCTATGCTTTTAATTAACCACAAATTTTGTACCTCCTGAAAAGCACATCACTCACACTTGAGATAATCATTGGCAACTGTTGTGAAATAGAAAAGTTAGGACAGTATGAAGCTGCTTGAAGACATGAATGTGGAAGACAAGGAGATAATAAAGGATGTTTCAAATGAGCATCTCTTCTGTGAGATGAATTGTATTTGATGAAAGTTGTGCAGTTAAGCAGTAAAATTAATTAATTGAGTGGAATTAATTGTAATATTCTGAAATTCCGTGACATTGATTGGCATATATAACCACTAATGGGAGTACATTTGGAATCAAAATATGGTTCAGGGCTTAATTTAGGTCTTAAGCTGTAAACATGTAACACTTGGGATTTTTTTAGCTAGAGATAAAAATGCCGAAGCGAATGCCAAAATGTTACAGCAAGAGCCAAGAAAGAGCAATCGAATTTGCTCTGAGGGAATCTCAGAGAAAATGCTAGTGCTTAAAAGGATACGTGAAATTTCTGAGGACAGTGGAGGACACAAAAAGCGTATTTAAAAATAGATTGTGTTAAAAATAAAAATAACCATGGGATACTCATCTAAAAGGAGGCAGGGTTATTTATTTATCTGTCTATTTATTTATTTATGTACTTATTTATTTTCAGAAAACTTCCTGTCCTGTCTCTTGCAGTCAAAACTGCATGCCCACCAGTAGGGCTATGTAAACTGTCAGCCTTTCTTCTAAGATAAAGGGTGGAGACAGTCTTTCTCAGGAAGTTACAAACTGAAAGCATCCAAAGAACAACTTAATTTTAATATTTATGGGGGAGAAAAAAAAAACCTAATCTGAAAATGCTAAAATCAAGATGAATAATATCATGTTAAAAGTATGATTCACGGTATCATTGTGTAATTTATGGCATCATCATAGTGTCATCGTGCTGGGAGGTTGCATGACTGGTGGTAGATGTAATTAGACCGTTAATCTGTTTTAATTCACTTCAAAAAAGTAAATAATGTTTGACTATCCATAAAGACAACATGTAAATTATAAATTGAAGAAATAGTAGTTCATCAACCACTGAGGTATTTTCCTCCAAGCAGTTTTTTAAGTGAATGTATGCAGTGCATGTGGCCTCGAGCCTATATATATGTATGTATACATGCATTAAACTGTACTACCATCAGAAATGGATCAAATGGAGCAGCAACATGTTGACAGCAACGTATTGACTGTAGTGCAGACAATTAATGCTTTCAGATATGGAGGTAATTTACAAGAAGATCAATAGCATTGATCCAAAACGTACACTGTGACAACTTTGATAATGTTTTGTTAACTGTTTCAAATGATACACTTGGAAAACGGGTAATAATTTTACAGTTAAAAAATGTATTCTTAAAGTTGTCATTGTTGTTATTGTCTTATTTGGTTCCAAAAGTGTCCAAGCCATTTTTTTCAACTGAGTGTAAAAAGCGTGGGAAATGTTTTGTATCCAGAGGACAGTATTCAGCTGCTTGAAAATGGTATTCCCTAAAGTGGTGCCTCAAGGATCCCTCAAATC